TGTTTGTCATAAAGGTCATCTTTTCTTTAGAATTGTGCAAATTGAACTAAGTTAAGCATAAATATATATATATATATATATATATATATATATTTATTTATTTATGCTTAATTTAGTTCACTTTGCACAATTCTAAAGAAAAGATGACCTTGATGACAAACATTAAAATTATTGGATAAAATAAGTACTACGTATTACTTTTCAGGGGATGCTTAGTAATGGACAAGAGATAGCGGTTAAGAGGTTATCAAAAAGCTCAGGACAAGGTGTACAAGAATTTAAGAGTGAGGTTATATTGGTAGCCAAGCTTCAACACAGAAACCTTGTGAGGCTTTTGAGATTTTTCTTGGAAGGAGGAGAAACTCTACTTGTCTATGAATATGTGCCTAACAAGAGTCTTGATTATTTTCTATTTGGTATGTGAGTATCAACTCATAAGTCTATATACTTGGTTGTTATTTGTGTCAGTCAATATATTTATGTATAATTTCCAACTTTAAATAGTGTTAAACAAAGTAGGGTAAATATTTAGTTATGCTCAGATACGCTTATATTATTATTCTTCTCCAATATGGAGGTATTTATACAAGTACAAAGATGTGTTAACCCTAAATAAAATAGGAAATATATCTAAATTACAATAGGAAATAAATATCTATTACAATAGGACTAAATAATAACTGGTAAGTAATCAAAATTCTAACTAAATAGGGAACCAAAATCCTAACTAAGTAAGGACTCGCCAACACTCCCCCTCAAGTTGGGCAAAGATATTTCGCACGCCCAACTTGACAAGCGAGTCACAGAACACTATACTTGAGAAGCACCAATTGTAGAGAAGGTCTTTTCGTCAACCACAAGTGAAACAAGTGACAACATAAAAGCAAAGTTCGCAGCGGAAACACAAGAGCAAACCCTAAAAAATAGGGCACATAGCAAAACACAGAAACCCTGTGAGCACGGCAGCAGATAAGGTAGAACATAGAAACCATACGAGCACGGCAGCAGATAAGGCAGAACACAGAAGCCCTGTGAGCATAGCAGTAGATAAGGCAGAAACCAAACCCTAAAAATAGGGTAAGGCAAGGTAAGGCAAAAAAAGGCCAAGCAAAGGCAAGGTGGCAAGGCATGGCAAAGAACCCTAAAAATAGGGTAAGGCACGACAAAGGTAAAGCCTTACCCTAAAAATAGGGTAAGGCAAGGCATGGCAAGGCAAAGCCAAACCCTAACAAATAGGGTAAGGCAAGGCAAAGAAAGGCAAAGCCAAAGGCAAGGTCAACGAGCATGACCACAGCGGAAACACACCAGCAAAGGCATGAGCAACAATACTGGCACCAACAAGAGCAACAAGGCAGAGACATAACAGGCATCATCAACAGCAATACAAGGCATTGGCACCAGAAAGAGCAATAAGGCACTGGCAGCAACAACAGCAAAGACAACTTCTCTTCACTCCCCCTCTCCCCCTGAAGAGAAGGTGTCGATGGAGCCATATGATCAATGGTACTTGAGAAACATGCACTGACTAACACTGAGATGTAGCAGAATTAGCCATGGCAGATAGGTGGTTAAATCGCAGCAGAATAGATGAGCAGTGGTGTCACTCCCCCTCAAATCCGACGATGTATGAGAGTCGAGATTTGGAGAAAGTAACACCCAAATAAAGTTGCAACACTCCCCCTCAAATCCGACAATGGTAAAGGGTGGAAGAAGAGAAATTGAAATAATAGTAAAGAGACTCAAACATGCCAGTCTCGTGGCAGAAGCAAATGCAAGAGTGGAAGGTGGTAGCATAAGGTTGTCCCATGAAGAAAAAACTTCAGAAAAGGAGAATAGTAAGGGAGGAAACCCAGCAAATCATGAACAGAGACAGAGACAAAGATAAGGTGCTCAAAATTGAGAAGCGGAAAGGTAACTCAAGAGAGCAGCCGAAGAAGACAGAGACTAGCAGAACAGTCAAAGGAAAGGCTCGGCAAGCGGTGACGAGGCTCGCGGAGGAAAGCAACAGCTCAGTGAGCGGTGACGAGGCTCACGGAGGAAAGCAACGGCTTGGTGGCGGCGGACTAGGATTATAGGCTAGATGTATAGTGCAGCAGAAATAGGTACGTAGTGTCTAGGGTTAGGGTAGAGATAGATCAAAACACAGCAACATCATCAGCAATGACCATAGCAACGGAAAGCGAAGTAAACAAAGGCAACATCAACGGCAACAATAGCGGCAACGGTAACATCAATTGCGGTAGTAGAGGCAACGACAACGACAACAGGAACAGTTTTTCCATATCAACTTTAGCTAATTCACGCAGACACAACTTCTCTTCACTCCTCCTCTCCCCCTGAAGAGAAGAGGTTGTCGGAGTCAAGAAATGGGCAATATCTTCATGGGAAGGAGAAATATATTTTTTTCACTCCCCACTTTACCACTTGCACAATCCTCAGGTGTGGGGTTTTATCACAAAAGGCCTCGGTGTTAGTTAAAGAGGGGTATTTCTATTTAAACTACTTTCTCTTTGGCCTTCTGGCCGATGTGGGA